TAACATGTTTTTTAACTTAGCTATTTCCAGTTTTAACCGACATTACTATTTGACATATAGAAGCACCTGATGTTTTTGTCCTTATCTTATCCAAGATATATATGATGTTTTGTGTATTTCTCTGACATCCATTTCCATTTATCTTGTATTTGTATGATGACACAGTGTCTGCGAATCGCTTTAATTTTAAATTGTTTTTAACGATTTTGCGTAATATATAGTTATATACAGTTCTTAAATTACATTATGCTCAGATCTATTTTGTTTATATATTTAATGGGTTTTTGGACAGTTTTAAAGAGTTTAAATCCGTTTTTAGCAGAGTATATTTGTAATGGTCAACAAATTTGCGAAGTTTTTGTTTATTTTAAGTTGATTTCATTTTATTCTAGTAAATGAAATACTTGAATACTTTTCATCGCTTTATTTTAGTTTTCTTATCCATTTTATGAATTAATTTCATTGCTTTTCGTTATTTCCTTGTTTTGTTTTGTTTTTCATGAGTCCTTTTTCCAAATTTCCTTTCCAATTTATCTAAGAATTGAAAGGTTTTTCGTTATCCACACGTAGACAGTTGCGACCTAAAAATGTACCAAGATTAGAAATGGTTTATAGTTCGAGATATCTGGGTTTTCTTACCTTCTCAAATCGGGTTCCAAAGTCTTCTTTTTCTACCGCTGCAGTTGGACTGCTTACATGTCCGTTGTTATCGCACTTAACTTTTTTACTATCTGCATAAAATTACACAACTAATGGTGGGTAAACACACACGAATAATCGTATTTATAGACCAGCCGGTATTTGTTATCATTATGATAGAATTTGCATAGAGTGGAGAGGATTTTTTTTCGGACATCGATAAGGTGGCAGGCGGATTGATTCGATGGGTGGAAAATTAACGGAGCCGAATTCAAGTGCTGGATTGATTCAAGTGGCTCGAACACGTCAACAATGGCCTTGGAGGGGCTGCGATCTGGGTGCGGGATAAGGGGCGTGGCCAAGGGAGAGTTAGACATTTCCACCCAGATAAAAACGACATGAGTGATTGTCATGTTTTTACTATCAAATTGCCTTTTTGATTTCCGATTCGAATCAAATTTTGCAAAATTAATTTTTTTGCGTTCAAAGTGTACATTTGAACTTTGATAATGATATGGTGTCATAAACTAAACACCAAATTCCAACTCATTTGAATCATTATCTTTTTTATTGCCATGTGAGCGTTTAATGAATAGGAACAAATAAAACAACTCATTAAGCTGGGATTTACTAGTTGTAGATATATTCTTAAGAAAAAATTGTATTTTTAAACTTAAAACTTAATATATTAATAAGCTGTATATTGACATCGAAACAAATTCCTTGAATAAACCTACTCATCTAATCCAACTAGTTCTATAAATCCCGGACTTCACTAAAAGCATATGAATAAATTGCATGTTGTTAAAAATATATTTTTACTTTGTCCCACAGCTCTAATGATATTTTCGTGTATCATCCTTTTTTTTGCGTGTAAATTCCTCTTAGCGAGATAATGTTCCAGCAAACGTCAGCAATTTCACTTAGTTGATATCGAATCGGGGCTTATCGCGCCAGATGAACGACTTGTGCGTTCGGATCGGATCACTGTTTCTGGGGTGGGCGTGTGGAGTCAGCGGAATTTATGCGGTCGCAAGTGGCCGTGAAATGGGCATGTACTACACATGTACATACAGTGACCGGTCGGACCGAAATACTCCGCAATAAATAAATGTGGTTGGGTTAAGTAATTGCATTGACCGATGGCCCCAGTGAGCAAATAAGTCAACAAAACACCACACATAGTCAAAGAAACACATGGATAAGGTCGCAATTTCGGGAAAAGATGCCTTGCCTTGGGTTCAGAAATATCCCACAAGACTTTGGGCAAAATTCTGTTTAAAGTAATACTTTCCAAATCCAATTGTATGGAGGTTGGGGCAAATTCGATTTTTTGGATCTTAGGAGAACGGATGAAGAGTTCCAGGAGCTCAGGTGGCGAACCATTTCCAGCTACCTATGACCTCATTCATCCATCAAACGCGTTATCCAACTGGCCGTCCAACTAGCATTATATATGGGCAAGTCAACGTTGACGAGGCGGCAGAAGGAGCAACAGGAGCCAGCTATCGACCAAATAACAAATATCCTAACGACTCAAATCCCCTGAAAGTCAGAGGTGGGGGTTTACTAAGCTAGACAAGTGCGAAATACGGGAGGATAGGTATATTTAAGTTTGGTTATAGGTTTGGAATACTTTTATAGCAAATAACTAAAATATTGGCTTATTTTACAACAAAAAATAAAGGTTTGTATCAATCAATGACTCAATTAGAGTTGATATTGAGAGGTAAGTTTAATTTACTGGAAAATAAAAACTATACTAATGTTTCTAAATGTCTTTCTTTTCGAAAAGAACAATAAATTATTATTATTATTATAATCCTGTAATGCTAACAATCTAAAACCTCATTGAAGTTTTAATTGTCCGCTTTAATGACTTATCTAAGTTCATTACAATGTATATTTGGCATTTAAAAATAATATGCATTGCTCTAAATGCGTCCCAATTCGCAATTGGTTAATGCTATTAACACACTGACTCGAATAAAATATAAATAAAACATCAACAAAAAAACGATAAAATCGCTTTGTAAATACTCTTTTTGTTGGAGATAGAACCATAAACAAAAAAAAAGTAATTACCTAATCGTTTTAGTTTATTTAATAACGCGTTATTCATGTTTTGAGAACTTCTTAATGAGCCTTATCAAAAATATAAATACAAATTGAGAAAATACTCTTTCACTTCTAAAAATTTATTAATCCACTTTCTTATGGGTGCTTTTTACATTTGTTTTAAAAAAAGGTTAGCAAATTTAAGTTGGCTGAAGAATAAGTACCCTTTAAAATTCGAAGTAAATGTTTTTAACTAATAATTAAAGAGGCTTATAAAATGGCTTACATAATCAAATGGCCTAAGGAATAAAGTATATTCTAATAATTTATGAGACTTTATTATGGATGGATTGTTTACGTTTATGCCTGACTCTCCGCCCAACAGATGGCGCTTTTTAGACTTTTTTGTTTCCTGTTTTGGTTTTCATTGACGATTGTCACGCGACATTCATTATTGGATGTACTTTGTTAACAGGGTATTTTAAATTTAGTCACTGCATCAGCTGTTTTATTGGTGTTGTTTGCAATGGAATATAAGCAGGAAAAGAAATCGCAAGAGAAGCGTAAAAAATGAAGCAAATCAATAATTGTTTTTTTTGCCCCAAGTGCAGGGTCACACACACACACACTCTTAAAATTGACCTTCAAAGGGGAGAGAAGGAGAGGGAAAGAGAGTGTGAAATTCACGTGAACGAAAAATTTAGTTAGTGGGAGGGAGAGGGGATGTAAGATTATGATTAACGGAAGAACAAATACAATATGTAATAATGCCGCTGTCTCGCTCGCTTTTTCCACTCTATATGGTTTTTTCTCTCCACTCATTCATTTGCATTTTTTGTATTTTTGGGACGAGCGGCCGGCGTTGTTGTTTTTTTCCTTTTAAGTGTTTGTTTTTTTCCGTTGGCGGCGACAGACATTTTTAATAACTAACACACATACGCTCTCCTAATTTGCGCATGTTGTGTGAGTGTGTGTGTGCGCAGAGTATGTGAAGAAGAGGAAGAGCACGGAGTTTGGAAGTTTTTGTGTCATCTTATTTCGCTGGCTATATTTACCTGTTGATTTAGTTTGGCTTTTTTTGTCGGCCACCGCTTGCGATTTTCCTCTCCGCTCGGCGAAGTTAATTAGAAAACAATTGACATCGGCATTTATTTATGCTCGCAATTTCGCTTTTGCCGCACACCAACACACAGTTACACACGCACTGCGCAAAAACAAGAACAAAAACCATGTACGAACAGTAAACACGAAAATTTAAAGCGAGTTTCGTAATTTCACAACGTGAATTTCAATGCGCGCAGCGTGAATTGCGATTAGTAACTAAAAAAATCATTGCTACTCTTCGTTCATTTCAGCTCCATTCGTTCTAGTTCCGAAGTTTATGCGAGCCCTAAATCGCGAACTAAGTGTATTTCGATATTATTCTGCTTTTTGAGTGTATTTACACCACAATATTCCATAACATGGTTGAACAAATTTTAAAGTAGATATTTGTCAGTCAATAAGCCTTTCCCCACAGCTTGAACTATATTTTAGTGCACTTAAGATCTCAAATTTATGACGTGTGCTCATTTCTCACAAAAAGCACTAGCGCGTTCGATAAAATACCAAAGAACTGGTTCTCAGCGGAACGGAACTAGAATTTTAAACTGAATTCGGGATTTATATGATTTAAAAAATAACTTAAGTAAAATGTTTACATAAAATATTTTGATTTAGTCTTACATTAAGTTTAGTCAACTATAAAATAAGTGAAGAAAAGCGAAATAAAATAATATGTAAATTATATAAAATAGGTACAGTGATACCTACTTTTTTCAACTTTAAAAAAAAGCAAAAGAAAAAATCCTTAATTAACTCTTAAAATAATACAAAAATTTAAGAATATATTCTTTAAAAATGTTTAATTAATAATCTTAAAACTGCTATTATAGTAATTTATTTACATATTATAAAAAACAATTTTGGATCGAAAAACGTTTTTTTTGGATGTACTTCAGAAATTTTTTTAAAGATCTTAAATTTTGCGATAATGACAAACCAATAAATTATCGTCAGCTTTGACATTGACAATTATTGGTACTCAGGGCAATGATCTGAGATCGCGGCTTTTTATATGTTAATATATTTTTAATTATGTTGAGTGGTAGTTGTATAAGACCCACATTCAGTAATACCATTTCCAAGTATCTTTACAAATAAATGAATCCAAGATGATCTTTTTAAACTCGTTAATAACTCGCCGTTTGGGATTTTTCACCCCTGCCCTCTATGACTCACAATATGATGCAATTGAGTCAATATGCTAGTTAAGAAAATAAAATCTTTAATCATACAATACAGTATGCAATAAATATTCGTATCGTAGTTGTTATATATGTATAAAATCAACATGGGTTCACATCTTTCGCTTGAGGTAAACGATTCACGTAACAGTTTTGGTAATTTACATGGTTATGTACAGTAGTTGTATAAATTATTGTAGTTTTTAAGCAAATATATGAAATCACTTGGGGCTGAACGTGTCATTCGGCCTTGGAAACTTTAGGTTCGAGCTTCTTTAACCGCATGTTCTACTATTTTTTAAATAAGCAGTTTTCTGTTGCAATCTGAAGCTTCAGTTGCCGGAAAAGGTTTCAGAAAAAATATTTAAGGCTTATTTGCCCGAATTTGAGTCTTGGCGAATGAACACCGAACCAAATACAATAAAAAGGGTATTATAATTAGTAAAACTAATATTTTTAGTGTAGCAAACAAAAAAAAAAGGAGTTAGATAATGTCATATTGGACCCATAGTTTCCAAGACTTTCTATCCACGCCTACGGTTTTTAAGCCCCACTTTGATCGGATGCTAGCTGGCCCGATTTTGCAGACGGGAGCACCTGGGACACGGATCAGCGTGGCTGCGACTCCGACTCCGGATCTTCCAGCAGGCATGATGGAAACAGGCTCCGCACCTTTCGCATCGCTGGACTTTTCGCTGCCATGGATAGATAAGTTCACCGCCCTTGCAGTGCTCGCAGACGAAGGCACGACCCGTGCATAGCTGAAAAATAGGACAAACTATTAATACTGATCCCAATTATCGCGATCTGATCACTCACCACGCAGTTGTGGACATGCTGTTCACTCAGAGCGATCACCTCCTTGATGGAGCGATTCATGCTGGTGTTCTGCACGTCCACGAAATCGCACATGGACCACATGTCCGGATCCTGGGTAATGTGCACCGGAATGGCATTGAAAAACGACTGTTCCCTGCAAGTGTACAAAAAAAATGGTGAATTGAATTAGAAATTAAACAGGAAAATATGGATCAATATCTAGAGAAATATTCAACAATACAAAGTAATTATATATACAAAAATGGTTTAAGATATTTTTAGAGCAAATTGCATCAATGTTGAAACTAATAATGAGTACTGAATATTACAAATTTAAATTCTCGGCATGTGATTCCCACTCACCTCGCTGCAAATCGACAGTTGGCTATGAATCCCTTGACCGCGTGCAGCTGCAGCCTCTTGCGCCTGGCCCTGGCCAGTTCCTTGTGCTTGTAGAGTTGGCTGTTCAGATCCGGGACGTGGAACAGCGGAAAGGCGTACATCTGTTCGATGAGGCGGTAGGCAAAGGAGCAGACCGGATAGCAGCGGAAGTCCCAGGAGCGGAGGATCCTGGCGGGAATCGCGGAAATCTGGTTGCGATGACAGCCGGTGCACAGGTATTTACCCAGGTAACTGCAGTAGCGAAAGTGCTGCTGCAGATGCTTGGCCACCCGCATCCCACAGCCGGCACAGCGATTGTTCTGCCTCTGCAGCAGCTTGGAACGATTCTCCGAGGGATGTTCGGTGAATATGATCTGCTGACGCGGCGGCGCCCAACTGGAGGTGCCCCTGGTCAGGCTGGCCTGCTCCTGATCCTGTTTGGGCGTGGGAAGGGGCAGCAGTTGCTGCGGTGCCTCCTCCTCGGAAACGAGCCACTTCAGGTGGCCCAGTCGCGGCAACTGCTGCTCACTGAAGCGGGATATCAGCTGGAGACCCACCGCCTCGGCACTGTGATTCTGGACGCCGCCGGGAATCTGCTCCACATAGGGCATGAGGTTCGGTTCCGAGGGATTCGTGTTTGCCGGTCCCGCTGGTCGGGCCAGTCTCCTGCTCCACTTCACATGCTCTATGGCCGTGATGCAGGCCTCCGAAATCCTGAAGTGGGCGTTCTCCTTCTCCAGCTGCGTATTGTTGTGCGTCTGCCGGGACATTTGCAGGAACGAGGCCAGCGATTGCTGGTCCATCTTATCGCTGCCCGGCGTAATGCTCACCGAACTGGAGGCCGTCGTGGAAGTCGTACTCGATCCTTGAATATCCCAGGGAGCCGACGATACGCAGCTTGTGGACGAAGCAGCCTCATCCAGCATACTGACGCCCTCGAAAAGGGTGTGTTGCTTCTTCAGTTTTCGGCCATTGACCGGCAGAAAGGTGTCCAACACGCCTCCATCTCCGAAGGAATTCTGGTCCTCGCCCAAGCCCCGCTGAAACCAACTGGTGTGCAGGGGCGCCGAGCCAAAGAAACTGCCCAGATAACTGCCCACCGAGGAGCCAGCTTTGGGTGCCTCCGGCATCTGCCTATTCTGCGTTGCCTGCGGCAAGTCCTGGGACGTTTGATCGGTCCAGATCTTTATGTCGTCACAGTTTATGAGCTGAATGCGTTTGGGACTGTCATTCGAGGAGCAGGAACTGCTGGATGGCGCATCCGGGTAGTCCTGCCTCAGTTTGTGGCTCCTGGAGCTGCTGAACGTTTGGCAGCGCCGCCTGACGGAGGTGCGTTCCTCCAGCTCTTCGTCCTCTTGACTGAGATTTGGTAGGCTCTTCAATCGCCTGATAAAGCTGCGTTTCTGCAGCCTCTCCTCCGGCACCGCTTGCAGTTTCGGAGAGATGCTAAAGTTCGGCTGGGAGCAGGTGCGTCGATGGCGCAGCTGATGCCTGACCTCCAGCTGGCCCAGCAGGCCGCTCTGATTGAGCTGGACGGCGGTGAGGCAAACGAACAAGGCGGTGGCGTCACTGGATCGTCGCAGAAAGGCCTCTTCACTGGGATAGTAGAGCTCCATCAGCTCCGGATCGGAGACCAGCGTTTGCAGGCACTGCGAAAGGCAGCGGGCTCGCAGGCAGCGGGTGGTCCACTCGCCGAGGAACTCCTCCACTGAGGCACTTCCTCCCGAGGAATCCCGACGATAAGGCGGCGGCGGCTTGGCCTGCGGATGCGGCTGCTGTTTGCCCGCACTCGCCAGCAGAAATTCAAAGTCGTCCGACAGTCGTTGAAGTTCCACGGGCTGCAACTGATAAAGACGGAGAATGAGGCGTTGCATAAATACAATTCGATTGCAAAACAATGGGAGAAGTCTACGTCATGGGTGAAACGAATTGGTGATACCCTCTTGGTACATCGCAAAGAAAATATTCACTTAAGTAGTACATGTAGAACCAGTTTATATATCCATATTATTTTTAAGACTTGATTGACGGTTACTAAAACTTCATGTAAAACTTTATGTAAATTTGATTGTGCTGTTAATTCAATAACAAAGTTAACATTTAAACTTCACAATCGCAAATAGAGTATTTTTCATGTTTAATTGATTGGTGTTCCATTAGAACAATAATGGAATCCAATTACTATTACTGGGCACGAAAACTGATATGATTACATTTACTATATGTTTACAGTTTGGTATTGATTTGAAATTAGATCTTTCCTTTCCGAAAAAGTAATTTAAAAGGTGCAGGGTATGAAAATTGAGATGTGATAACTTTAAACGGAATTGTATAAAAAGCAAGTGAGATTCTGGGGAAACTCAATGATGACTCGTTTTGGGTTTCTTTAAATAACTCTTATCTTTATATTTGTTTAGCCATTTTTATTGTCATAAAGTACAGGGAATTAAAAAGACCTTTAATATTAATTAAAATGTTTTTTTTTATATTCTTGTTTTATGATAATGTTTCTTTAGAAGCTAAGGGTGTATTAAATGTACTGGTTTTATGGCAGTTTCTCCCTTTATTTGAAGTTTCATGAGTTCTTTAAATTCACATTAAAAAAAAGGGAGAAATATTTTAAAATTCCCTCTAAAACCTACATACATAGATATCCCGGGTGAAAACACATTTTGTTAATGCTGTATTTAATGTATAATAGGCTAAATAGCAAAGATAAATTGAATGAAAGGTTTAAGTGCAGGGTATGCAAGCCGATAAGTGGTGAAACGATGCTGAAAACATGAATACCCTGATGCAAATGGGTATCGATGGGGTGTGAGTGGTATTCTGGGCGATTCAATGGGATGTTTTCGTATCGCTCACCAGTCCGTGTTGCAGAATCCGGGTGCAAGTTTGGGCCAACAGCTGCAGTCCGTCCGTGGATTTGGCCCGGAACCAGAGATTCGTGGATCTTCGCAGATCCGCGAGCAGGGAATCCCTTGCTAGTTGTTGTTGTTGTTGTTGGCGGTGCTTCTGCTGCAGATTTTGTAACATTCCATCCATTTCTGCGTCACCAGCCGCATCCACAGCGCTTTCGGCCGCGTCCGCTGCGAAAGTGGGCGGGGGCGTGGCCATTGTCACAGTGGAGGGGGGCGTGGTTGTTGCATGTTAGCAGGGCGATTAAATTGAAAATTCTGCGCTTGTTTTGGTTGTTTTTAATACTTTTTTTTTGCGATTCTTGCAGGGTGTGACCTTGCGCAGGTGCGTGCAAATATACCACGGTGTCTTAAAATATACTAGAAAATATACTGCAGCAAGAACGTGAGCAATAGGTGGCGCCTTTACAGAGGACTCAAGGCTCAAATCGAACCACATTCAAACTATTATTACAAATTATTCATACATTCGTTAATCCACTTAAATGCAGTTAGAAAGCACAAAATTCAAGACGTACAACCTTATTGAAATTAAGTTTCTTTATATTGAAATCCCGTTCTAGATTAAAAAAAAACATCAGATTTGGAATTTTAGTTCTGACTCAAACCCTTTTAAAATGTTGTTGTATTTACTTTTCAATATTTTGAATGCCGATCTTTTAGTTTTTTTTGTTGTAATTATAAAACTGTCAGTCATATTTGCTTCCAATGGGTTTTTACCTAATTTAAACATTTCAAACTGCTGTTATAGGATCGATCGGATCAAATTTCTTAAATTTGTTTTTAAAGATACTTACGTACATCATCGTCTTGTTCAAAATCGGAGGAACATTTGCTATATCTATCATACATATATCGATAAATCTGTGTGTTGGCGCAGAATACGCTCATCAAGTTGAAAAATGATTATTGATCGTGAATAATCTAGCCACTCGTTCACTTATTAATGTTCGGTATAACTGCAAAGGTATATGCATAAGTAAGCTTTCTTTCTCGTTTTATTGTGATTTTATAATTATTCATTAATAATTTTAACTTTTTGTTTAACATTCATCTTATATCAGAGGAAAGAGCCTATTGCAAATAGTTTCTGAGAGCCGCTTTTTAGATTTTTATATTTTTCCTTTTATTTTTAAAAATATATAAAAATATAAAATAAAATATAATATATATCCTGAATAGCATAAACACTTAAACACAGTTTTAGCAATTGTTGTTTAATTAAAAAATTGTTTTTCTCAACTGTAATAACTTTGCCTAGATGGCGCCACGGGGAAAACCAGTATTTGAAACTGCTAGTTGCGCGGAACAACCGCCCGATGTCGCCAGCTGGCACCTGCTGTTCCCACTATTACCGTTAGTTGTGTGGGCGTTGCCCTCCACACAGAATCCTCACTTTTGATTGGCCCAAAACGACCATGGCTCTGCGCAATGCAAATCGCGGATTTCAAAATGTCAAATCGATGGCCACGCCTCCATGTTTTGAGAACTGTTTCATCTTCTTTCTTTTTCGCCGACTGCGCTGCTTTTTGGAGCGCTCTTCTTCTTCATTTTCTTCCTCCTGCTGTGTTTGTTTGTTTGTTTGTTTGTGCTTCGTTTGTCGTATAAGTGATGAGTCAATTAACCCAACATTTCTTTCCTGGAGGCCACATATTGCTTTAATTAAACAGACAAACAAAATTGCAGCAACAACAAACGCACTACTTTTGCCACCATTTTGTTGCTGCTTTCTGCCATTGCCGACCCTTTCCACAAATTGTGACTTTTGCCAAATAAATATTTGCATTTAATTCCACACAAAAGCACACGATTACACGCACACACAAACACACGCACACATGCAACCTTGAAACAAAAGCAAGAAGAAGCGTCGTAGTGGGCTCTTAATTAAACTTTAATTACTTGTAATTAATAAAGTTGATTGATTTGCCGGCCATAAAATAAACTCACTTTTTTTTTTGCCATCTTATTGGTTGTGTTTTTTGCCCTGGTTGCCATGTAAATAATGCACTTATAGATAATGAGGGACTGCCGATTTTTGGGTATTATTTTATTGGTTCTGGCTGGCAAATATTCCAGTGGTACGGCACCTGGCTTGAAAACTATAGAGCTATTAAAAGCTTATTTTTCAAATTGTTTTGATTGTTTGTTGAAGTTAATCTTATCATTTTATGATCTTCATCATTTGCAGAAAATAATATCTAAGGTAGATATAATACAGGTGGAATCTAATGCTTTAAAATTTTTAAGTCTCTGTTTTTATAGTCAAACAATTTAGTATGTTTTCATAATATTTTGAATTGCATGAACATAATTTCATAATTTATTAAAAATGTTTATCTCATATTGTCGCATAAACAATGCTGCACAAATATAATGCAATTTATGTATTAAAATAAATTGATGAATATAAATAAAATATATGTAATCTTTTTCAAATAAACACATACGTTTGTATTTAGGGGTTAACACCCGATTCCCTTTGTGTGAGCAATCCTTTTTCTCGATTGTCTAGACGTCTTTTCACAATCTTGCAATGAGATTCCAGATAAGCTCCTCTTTTCAGCAATTAAAATCTTTTCAGCCGGAATCATTCCTGCATCTTTCTGTAATTATTTCGATGTACCCCAAAATCCCCCTAAAATCTTCCTTTTCAAATTCCAAGGATGTATGCAGCAAATTTGCTCATTAGCTTACCAAAGTTTTTAAGCAATTTCTGGGATTAAATCACTAAAAACAGGAAGGAAAGGATAAACTCAATTTTGTGAGGATTTTTGCTTGGGAAATTCAATAAGATAGTGTTACTATAACCGATTTTGCAAGCTTTTTTAATCCAACAACAAATAAAACAAATATTTAGGAAAATAATGTTTTGTTTATATAAATTTAATTAGCATATAAAATATAAAAAATAAAACCAAATAAAAAAGTTAATGATTATAATACCAAAATCGTCATCCTTTTTAGTAAGCTAATAATAAAATGGAATTCTTTTATTGATTTATTAAGCAAATGTCCTCGTCAATATGATAAATTTTAAATTGAACATTCCCTTCATTAATTTTTTTTAGGGAAATGTATGTATTGTTAACTCAGCTAACATATTTCCATTGTATTTGAAATGGTATATTTCGATTTTCCGATAAAACGAAGTGTTTGACATCAATTTGTAATGGCTTCCTTTTTGGGTTAATTTGAGCCAAATATTTGGACTTTAAGTGGCTCACTTATGCTACTATTTGGCAGCCATAATTTCCGATTTCCATCCAGACAAATTGTCGGCTTGAAAACATTTTGCGCCGACCATGATAATGATGATTGGATGGACAATGGCCGGAATGCCAGCCGCAACATATGCAGACAGAAAGGGAATGGAAATGGAAATAGGTATAGGTATAGGGACATATAGGGTCCTGGATGGGGCATGCAAATTGCTCCGACCAAATGCAATTGAAAGGAAGCGAGACAAAGGCCTCAAAACACAAGTAGAAATGGAAACAGAAGCCGAGATATATCCCTCTCCTTCGCCTCCGCACAGTGGAAAATTGACAATGGAGGACGAACAATGGGACGGAACTGAAAACAAATTTTGCATGCAAAATGCAACAAACAAAAATAGCATTTCGAGCATTTTGAATACTGAGTGGCGATGGGACTGTCAAAATGGGAATCAGAATGGGAATAGGAATAGGAATAGGAATATCGCACTCAATAAAGAATTTCCACTTGAATGTTTTTCGGGAAAAATACAATGGGTAAATAGAAAAACAAGAAAACAGGAAAATGCCAAACAAATGGCAATGAAACGAAGCTGCAAAACGAATCTGCTCCTTTTTTCCATCTCTTTCGGTGGGTTGTATAAGCCGCAAACTTCAAATAAAGTACGTTTCATAAATGTATATGAGAAATAATCCAGGAGGTACTTTGCCTTGCATAATTTTATATCATTTGCGATTGAGTTTAAATTTGTCTTTCTAAAATTATTTTCAAAAACTATAATATATATTAAAAAAAACATTTGACAGTTGATAAAAATATTGATATATAATTAAATATATTTATCATTTATTTATGAGGCAAAAAATCATTACTGGGCCAGCTCATCGAGTTTTTAAAAATGACTTACAGTTGCGAAACGCACTGTCGGCCACCTACAGACGCATAGGTACGGATTCAGATACATAGATGCAGATACATCTGCGCGACGCATCCACACTTGATCGACTTCTGACTTAACGCAGCTCGGGCGTTCAGAATGCAATTTAGCAAGCCTCGCAGAAACGAACAAAAAAAAAAAAAACAAAATGAAAAGACGGAAAGATGAAGAAAATTGGGATATGAGAGGGCAATCATCAAATAAATATGTGAGTGCCTCTCTAAAGTCCCGCCGAGTCCTTTATTTTCCTCGGCAGCGAATGTAAATAGAGGAGCAGGAGGACCAGACAAAGGAAAAAAGAATGGAGAAAGATGAACAAATCGAGGCCCCGTCAAAGTCGAAGTCCTTTGAAGATATTTGATACAAATTGAAAGCGATGATCTGGAAACGTCGAGTTTCGGGAGATGGTATCTCCACGACGACGACGACGACGACGACGATGATTGTTTATTTGAGGGAATTTAATTCGCCAGATCGATTGCGGTAGTTGATCTTTGGAACGTAATTTGTGCGATTTCCAAGGGTTCCAAAGGATTTGATTCGATGGAGTTGAATCGAGTTGAGTTGGCCAAGCGAATGGAATCGTGGATGAATGAATTCGAATCAGAGGAGGTGGCATCGGCATCCGCGATTATGGATTCATTGATAGGAAACGAAGCTGTGAGAATCGTGAATGGAAAAATACAAATATGAGTATGGGAACAAAAAAACAAATATTGGCATTAATAAGACGTATTTATAATGGGAAATATACATTTTAAAATACCCTTAAATGTAATTATATTATAAGATATTATAAGAATGAATGAATTACAAACTATGATGAAAACATTATTGGGGCATTTTAAAATATTTAAAAAATATATATTTATTAACCACTGAGGCAAAAAAAATAAAAAGATAAGAGAACATCCAGTAAGATGGATGTTTATTACAATGAAGTAATTTTTAAAAAATTAATTTTAAAGTTATAAAAATAACCTCTACCCCCACTTCCCTTTCGCCAACTTCCTTTCCAAATAATATTTATGTGAATCCGATCAGGCATCACTAATACCAATCATTTGCCATCTGCGAGTCCGCTTCCCGATTCTTTCCAATAAATTCCCCTCCGAAAAGTGCATCTCTCATTTTTTATAACTTCCGCTCGCT